TGAGTGGGTCATTGGTGATATTTTGCTTTGTGATAGATTTCAACTTTGATTTCCTTTAGGTTTAATTGAGCACTTTTCCATATTTGATCATTAGTATATATTTCTTTGTTAAGTGATTGCTTAGTTTCTTGGCCTGTTTAATTTTTTAAAAGTTAAATTTAAAAAAAAGTTTGTAAAGTTTTAAGTTATACATATATATATATATAATTTCAAAATTAAAGACTTCTGCTCATCAAAAGACACTGTGTGTGTGTGTGTGTGTGTGTGTATACACACATATATATGTAAAAAGATTTTCTGTGCTCCAAGAAGGCTTTCCTTATGCCAAGATTATAAATATTTTCTCCTAGGTTTTGTTCTAAAACTTTTATAGTCTTATGATACACACTGGATCAACTTTTTTGATATGGTGTGAGGTAAGGGTCTGGGTTTGATATATTCCAGCACATACACTGGCACCTTTATTCAGAATCATCTGGCCAGGGGATGGAGAAGTTAATAGTTGCCCAAGGTTAAGAATGGGAAGACGGAGATGGATATGATGGTGTAAACACCAAGAAGATTTTGTGATTGGAATAATCCTGAATCTTGATTATGATGGTGGTTACACAAATATACAACTGTAATAAAATAGCACAAAACTAAATGCACACATTGTACCAATGTAATTCCTGGTTCGAATACTGTACTGTAATTATACAACATGCAACCATTCAGGGAGAGTGGGGGAAAGGTCTGTGAAGCCTCTTGGTACTACTTTTGCAATTTCCCATGATCCAATAACTATTTCCAAATACAAAGTTTAGAAAATCAGTTGACACATCAGTGTGTGTCTGTTTCTGGGCTCCCTGTTCTGTCTCCACGCTCTGTCTCTGAGAGTCTGTTCTCCATCCTTGCTTTCCAAGATTTGTTCTATGTATCCTACTATGTTTGCCTTTCTACTTAATTCTAGAAGCAGCTCATTGCTTTCTATAGGTGGGCTTACAGCTGGGATCCACTCGAGTCTACAGATCATTTTAAAGGGTATTGATGTCATAACATTAAGTCTTCTGATCCACAGACATTCATTTGAGTGCTCTTAAATTTTCCATCAGGAATGTGTTCCAGCTTTCAGTGTTCAGGACTGTCACATCTTTTGTTTCATTTATTACTAAGAATTTTAGCTATTGCACATAAAATTGTTTCACATTTAATTTTTGAATTGTTTGTAGATAGTATTATAAAATATAATTGGTTATTATATCTCAACCTTGTTCCCTACAACCTTCCTAAATTAACTGACCAGTTTTGGTGGCTATTTTATAAATTCCTTAGAATAATTATGTCTTTTCATTTTTTTTTTGGTACTAGGTATTAAATCCAGGAGCTTTTTACATCTGAGTTATATCCTCAGATAATTTTATTTTCTATTTTTGAAACAGGGTCTCACTAAGTTGCTTGGAACTTCTCTGAGTTGCCAAGGCTGGCCTCAAACTTATGATCCTCCTGCCTCAGCCTCCTGAGTTGCAGGAATTACAGGTGTGTGCCACTGTACCCAGTTGAGGCTGTGGGTTTTCTCTATGAATTTTAGTTGCCATCAATTGGGGCCAGCCCTCGAATGAAAACTGTAAAAAAATGAAAACTCACCAGTATGTCCTTCTTCCAGGTGTAGATTTGATTCCCCTCCAGTGGAGGCCTAATTTTTACTGCTCACAGTGCCTTTGGGCAGCCATTTCTTTGTATTTTGCCCAGCGTATAGTTGTCACCTGCAGGGTGGTTCATATAACAGGAGCTAATCCTATCTCATTACCAGAAGCTGGAAGCCCAGGTGTGTTCATTATTCATATCACTCCTTTCCCTGTCTCTGATGGTTCTGTTTGTTAGTGGTGATTTGGCCAATTTCTCATGCCAGGAGCAAACCCAAAGGGCTTATATAACCCACAAACTGGATTAGTGGGCCTCTGAACAACTATGAGCTTACTGTGTCAATATGCTTTCAGAAGTAGAACTCCCGATTCATTGTGCTGCCCGTCCACATAATTGGGACTAGACCGACTCTAGGCAAAATTGGATAGCCCATTTAATCTGCCTTCCCGGGGCCTGTTCTTCAGCCCTCTGCCCAGTGTCTTTATGGTTCTTCCTGCCTGGGTGGAAATGCTCCCCGGATTCCCAAGTTTTCTTTTCTTTTTTTTTTTTTTTCCAAGTTTTCTTTTTCCAGACAATCCTCCAGGACCCCTCTCTCCTCTAGTACCTATCAAAACTCTCTCTCCTGGGGCCTGCTGTCTCTTTGCTCAGCTGGTGTTGGTAAAAGTCTAGTTCTGTGACAGTGACAATAGCTAATGTGTTCTCTTTCCCGCACTAAATGTGTCTTGAGATTGGCCATCCTGAAACCATAGAATGAATCAGGATGTGAAGGAAAGCCACTCCTTCATTTTTCCTGTTCAGAAAACCCATTGCCAGAGAGGGTAAAGGTCTTGTCTGGGGTCATTGCCGGGTGCAATGAGCACCAAGTCCTAATTCCAGACTGAGTGGATCCAGCAATGACCTCAAGCACCAAGTCCAGTGACAGTGTGTGGAAGGCGATGATAGCACTTCAGTTTTCTTTCTGGCTGGCATCCCTCCTAGATGGTGACAGAGTGGACAATGACAGTCTGCATGGTCACCTAGTGAGTTCACGGTATTAGTAGTGTAGGATGGGAATGGAGTATAAGAATTTAGGATGTCTTACCTGGAAGAGAGAAAACTGAGTGGGAACATCAAAGACCCGACTGGGAATTTAGGCCTGTTCTATGGTGCCGCATACAACAGAACTGTGATAAATGGGTCAAGCAAACTGTCAACTTGAGTTTGGGATAAGAAAGGTTTCCTAACAATTAGAGATGTCTACAGTTAGAAGGGCTGGATTCCCTCACCTGCACTTCATCTCAACAACCAAAATGCACCAGGTGGTGAATTCTGTACCACTGGAAGCTTGTGGAAAGGCTCAATTGAGACATCTTAGAAGGAGTTCTTTTAATATATGGGAGTTTGGAATAGATTTCCTCCTGGTCCATATCCAATTGTTGATGATGGGAGACCTTTTGGTGCTCATTAAGATCAAAAGGCATAGACACCTATCTACCCTGTAGAGAGAAGGGGGCCTCTGAGTACCCTAACACACACACCCTCCCTGCCCCAACCTAATACCCATGGGGATTGCTATGGGTTGGAGTGGTGTGGTTGGGTGTGATGCACTGTGGTGTAGTGAGGGGTGATTGGCGTGGGGTGTGTGTTATGGTGTGACGTGATGTGGTAGGATGTGGCATGGTGTCATGTGAAATGGTGTATTGTTGTATGGGGTGTCATGTTTGATGCACTACACATGTGGCTGTGTGGTGTGGAGTCGTTATGGTGTGTAGCTCCACTGGATAGTGACCAAGTGGAACTGGAGTCGTTTGGGTTGTTGAGATGAAGTGCCAATCTAGTGATTTCCTTGGCATCGTTGGCTGCATCTTTTATAAGAAAGCAAGTCTCCTGTGTCATCCTGCACTGGTCTGTGGAATAGTCTGGCAATATTACATATCACAACAGAATGTGTGCCATAGAGTCCCATGAAGGGCCTTTCACCCACCTCTCCTGCCCATCAACTGGAGGGCAGAGTCAGCATCAAACTGAAAATAAATCTTATGTATTATTTTGTAGTTGGATAAACTATATTTTAAAAAATTTCAACCTTAAAACCAAAGAAACTCACATGTCAGTTCTGACAGAGGACAATGTGGTTTTATAATGTGCCCATGGTATCTGGGGTTTGTGAACTACGAGGCTCAATAACCTCAACACGGCTCCAGGGTTCTCCCAAGGCCTTTCAGGAGAGGCTAACTTTTGCCAAGGACCATAGATTCTGGAACTCTCTTTATTTGCATATTTTTAAACATGAAACTGCTTCTTAAGCAATGCATCTGGAATCTATGGATATAGAATAAGGTAGACTCTGCTTTTTGGTCTTAACTTCCTTTTCCTCTAATACAGCAATTCTTCTTAATAAAATTTGTCATTGGGTATTTCTAATGCTATGAAGAAGATGTTCACTGAAAAACCAGTAGTTAGTTTTGGTTTGGTTGGTGTTGGTTTAATAGCTCTAAATGTTTCAGAGGCAAATCTATTTGAATGATTATGAGAGAGAGAGAAAGAGAGAGAGAGAGAGAGAGAGAGAGAGAGAGAGAGAATGAATGAATATGAATCCAGATATAGCCAAAGACATCAATGTCTACCCTGGAACACTGAGGCACAGAATGCCAGTGTGATTTCTTGTAAGGTGGCAGGATGGTGATGGGTGGGAGAGGGAGGAGGAGGAGAAGTAAGGGGAGGAGCAAGATGGGGACAGGAGAATGACAAAGAAGCAGGGAAGGGTCAGAGAGAGGCCAAGACCGAGAGCTGACTTCACTGCTTGACACTGTATTTGTCTGCCCGCTTTGTTCCTTTCCTGTCACCAGTGCAGACAGGAGGAGTTGTTCTTGCCCAGCAGTAGCAGTCAGCTTTCTGTTGTCCTTCTGCCTCTAATTCTGCACCCCTCAAGCCCCATCTTCACGTAGCCCTTAAATAATAATCTCCAGTGCAAACGGCTGGCAAAACAAATTCTCTGCCTTCATTTCTCATCTTTGACCACAACCCTGCTTCCGCCACTTGGCTGAGAAGGGCTAAAGTGCCAAACTTGATGTAAAGTCTCACTGGCGTCCTGGAGCCTCACTGTGGCTCCCAGTGAGCACCTTGACCCTAGGCGCCTTTCTCTGAAGGAGCTGACCTCATGCTAATGGTTGGAGGGGTGAGGCACTGCCCTCTAAGGAAGAGAGTTAGAGAGGAAATGCCATTTGCTTGTGTTTGTTGCTTCCTGGTTGTCCTAAAGACCTTTAATGATGAGGTGTTTGGCCCCATCATTCACAGCCAAAATTTCACACTCACATTTATAACTCACAGGGAAGTATGTCATCTTCTGCAAGGGCTCTCTAGGTACTCTGCCAGGCACAATGAGCACAGCCAAATCATTGTCTATATGCTTGTAGACAGATTTATTTCATGGGTTTCTTATCTGTGTTCGATGTTAAAATTCATGCTGCTGGAAAGGCCCACAGGCGAGTGCCCTTCCTGCTGGTGACCTCTCGATGTCCCCTCCCCACTTCTTTCTCATTCTTCTGTCCCCTCACATCATAGAACACTTCTGTTCAGCCGACTGCTTGATTTCCATGAAGGTGGCCTGGGCCTTTTCTTTTATGGTGTCCAAGTCCATGTTCTGGAGATTCTGCAACTGCCCAAGAACAGAATCCTTATCTTCTTCCTCTTCTTGATCCTCATTTACCATCTTCCGGAGATCTTCAGGCAAATCCACATCCTCTCCGGCCATCTGGATTTGATTCTCATCCATTTCACTCTAGGTGAAAACATAAACACAGAAAGAAATATTCTAAAATTAACCACCTGGATAAATAATAAATAAATAAAATGTAAGAGCATAAAGGTGTGCAGGGAGAGATGGTCTGCATGGCTGTGTGACATGACAGGATGGTCCCAGTGGTAGCCATTCTGCGGCAGGCCAGGGCTCCTGGATGGAAGGTCCCACCCTCATGTGCCTTGGCCTGAACAGAAACTTTTAGCCTGGTGGTTCTCAGACTGTGCTCTCTGGACAAGCAGCATTTGCATTATTTAGGAGCCTGTGAGAAACACAGTCCTCGGGCCACCACAGACCTGCTAGATCAGAAGTTCCTGCAGTGGGGCCCAGCAATCTGGGGGGTAAGAAGCCCTGTCCTCAATGCTGATACCCACCAAAGCCTGAATACTCGCTCTGACTCCTCCACTGGGTAGTTTTGCAAGTTCTGCTGAGAGTATAATCTAAAGTAAAATGTCCTCTGAGAAAGGGTCACACAGCCGATGTTCCCAGATGGTGGCTCTCAGACAATTTTTGGAAGTCAGGTTGTAAGAGGAGGCAAGCTGGGTTTCAGGGGCACAGAAAATTAAAAGGTATCAGAAGAGCTAATGATAGAAAAGATTTATGTTAGGGTCCACCCCCATAGCTTGTGACCAGCCTTGCATCTGTTACCAAAGTTCATGTGATCACATAAAGAAGAAATGATCATCTTGGTCCTAATCAGACCACAGTGATTTAAGAACGATTTCAGCACTGTGTTAGTCAGCTTTTCGTCACTGTGACCAAAATACCCCAAAAGAACAACTTAAAAGAGGAAAAGCTTATTTTGGCTCATGGTTCCAGAGGTTTAGTCCAGATTGGCCCAAGGGGAGGCAGAACATCATGGCAGAAGGGCATCGTGGAGAAAAGCAGCTCTGTTCATGGCAGCCAGGAAGCAGAGAGAGAAAGGGAAGAGGCCACAGGGAAGATGCACCCTGTCAGGAGCTTTGTGGGGACATCGCATATCCAAGCCATAATAAGCACCTGCTAAATTCCTGGGAAAAGTTCAAGCCAACTCCTAAGAGATGGGGACACCCCTTGTCTGGGTGCTGAGGAGAAATGATCAGAAAGATCATTTCTTTGTCTCTAGGTCCAAGTGGCATTCCTCATCAGTAAAGTGAGCTCTTTTCCTTATCTGACACTCTTTGGCTCTGAACTTCTCCTTGGAGAAGTGGAGTCCAGCAGCCTTTCCCCAGAACTTCTTTTATTTGGTTCCCCAGCAGAGTGACAGCCATGCCTGACTCCAAAATGAGCTTGGAAGACAGATTCTTGACACAGAGGAGAAGAGTACCCTTGGAGAGATGGTCCTCACGCAGGCCCTCCCTGAAGTCCTCAGAGGAGAGCCACACCTTGCCTCAGCCTCTTGAACTTGGCTGGGGCCTCAGTCCCTCCAGCATTTAGAGGATTAATTAGTTTCTCGTCAAACTGCTGTGGGATTAATTAGTTAATCCCCAGGGGCTCTCAGCCAATCTTGCATTTCTATTTACTTCTTATTTACGTGGCTGCTTTCCTCATTGATCATCCTCTGGGCATTTCTGCAGGAGGAGTTTAAAATGCACATTTTACCCAGCCCTGAATTAGTTCATGCAGATGCAGGACATCTGCCCTGCACCCAAACAAAAGTAAATGATTTGAAAAGAATTCTCAGGAATTCTGGCTCCACTCCTCAGGTTGGAAGCAAGATCCATGCATTTGTCACCAGGCTCCACCCTGGCTGACTAATAGCTGTGGTCCGAAGGTTCAGGCAGCTGGAGGCCAGGGGGAAGGAAGTGCGCCAGCCCGCCCAGTGCCATGAAGACCCAGCCCGCTCTGCTCACAGGGGATGGGGCTCTCCTGCTCCCACACCCAGAGTGATCCTGCAGCCTCCAGAGAAGCCTCAGGATGGTTTCTTCCTCCACAGGGGACTTTGAAGTTTATTTTATCCTCACGCCCAGGGTTGAGCATTGGGATCCTGCTTTATTTCATAACTCAGAGAAGGGTTCTTGATCACCCCAACTTCTACCAAATGGTTCTCATAGTAGGTCTGTACCAGCAGCAGCAGCAGCACTGCCTGAGACCTTGCTAGAAATGCCCATTCTTAAGCCCTACCCAGACTTCCTGATTCAGAGACCAGGTGGGTGGAGCCTGACCCAGCAAGCCCTCCTGTGGTTCTGGTGCTGTTCTAGGGTTACATCTGCTGCTCTACAGTCCTTGAGGATGGGCTGCAGCAAATGCATCTTTCTGTCTCAGAGCCCAGCAGAGTTTTTGGCCTGGAGACACTGGCAGTACATATATATGGAATGAATTAGTTAGCCTATTGTTGGGGGGGCGGGCTATAACAGTCTCAATACCACACAAAGTCACCTCCCATTAAGGTGGTGCTCTCTAGAGTTAAGGACATTGGCTTGACCGATTGCCTGAGTGACAATGATAACTCCACTACTTCCCAGGCCACATGGCCTGGGCACCTTACCCAACCTCTCTGAGTTTCATTTCCTTATCTATAAATTGGGGACTGTATCATATGCAGTTGAATTGTGAAGGACAATTAGATGATAATTGTGTTATTTAGAATCTTCATTGAACCCTCAACTAGTGATGGCTATTCATAAAAATGATAAACCTCAGAGATAGGTGGATTTTGCTCTGGGTTGTCCTGCATGGGGAGGTTAGACCCACATGAAGGCCTTGCTCTCTGCATCTGAGCTCCAGCCTACCAATGACTCCCACCTTGGATCCCAAGCTTAATTCTCCTAGTAAGCCAGAAATCCATTCCCCTTCCAGCACTCCGTCTCCAATTCCAGGAGGCAGGTAGTACCTGGCCCAAGCTCTGTTTTCCTCTGGTCAGGCCCACCCTGATATCCAAGGGTGGCAGAGCATGGGTACTGACAGAAGTCCCTTCTGGCAGATGACCTTTCCTCACTTTGCGAGGTCCCCAGCTCCATTCTTTACTGAGAAGGTCCTTAGGACACTGGTCCACAGCCTCTGCCTCACTCTGGCCAGCCTCTCAGTGCACACAGGAGCATGGGCCCCCAAGGAGGTCCGGGGTGCATTTAGGCAGGGCACATGGGGTTCTGAGCAGCCAGAATAGGCATGCTCCTTTGGCTTTAAGATTCCCCACTTTTGTGTGAAGGAGTATGGCCAATGGGGGAGAGAGGGAGCCTATAAAGTGCGCCCCCAGATGTCCAGGTCTGAAGGCAGTGCTGGGGGCCTTCAGAGTTCTACGCTCTCTGTTGTTCTAGAAGCACCATGCTCCTGGCCCTCCATCTGCAGCATGGTTGTTCTAGGTGGTTATTCTAATTCACCTGGTCCTGCTTAGGTCATAACCTTTGCCATGGACACCTTTGGCTAAGGGTGAGACAACCAGATTGGGCCAGTGAGTGGCTAGAGAACCAAATGAAGGCTCCTGGCACCAAACCCAGGCCTCTGGCCTCATTAGCACTGGGTTCTAACTAACGGAGCTGGCCAGGGATCTAGGACTGACCAAGCATGTCTCATTTGTAAAAGTGGCATCCTCCCCAGACTCTTTTCCTGAAGGTGGCCTACAACAGGGGAAAGATGGTGAGATTTGACGTCAGAAAACCTGGGTTCCAGTACAAATCACTCACTCACTGTGTGACCTTGGGCAAGCCACCTTACATGCCTGATGTCTAGTGGGAGGGCCACTTGGCACATTGTTGAGCAGATTGAATAAGGCATACTGTGAAACGGCCCACAAGCCTCCAACCCTGTTCAAACTGTAGCTGTGCTTATTAATATTTCAGAGGGAAGGGAGCAGCTCCATGTCCAGGTCCCTGCAGAAAAGATGTCTGGGATAGAGGAGGCCCAGACAGTGAACCAGAGAGTAAGAGAGCGTGGGCCTTTTCCAGAGAGCTGGGACACAGCAAGCAATTAAGGAGCACAAACAGGGTTTATCGAGTGGGCACTGTGCAGCCTCGCTTCCGCCTTTCCTAATGAACCTCCCTATTGGCAGGACCCTGTCTACCACTCACACAATGAATGCCTTGTCTAGACTTTCTGCTACCCATTGACAAATCTTAGGTGGGGGAGACCAGGAATATTTCAACACAGTCCACACTTCAAACACAAGCGCAGCTACAGCCAATGTCAATCAGCATCATTGGAAGCAGCTCCAGGGAGGGAGTAAGCAGGCCTGTGAGTGACAGCCACATGGTCAGGGCACCATGGATTATAGGCCAAATTATTTTCTTAGAGGTTCTAGAGGGTCTCTTTGGAAGTCTTCTCACTTCTACAAATCCTACCAACTTGGGATACTGTTTAATACAGTTTAGAGCTAATTATTTTTATGCCAACTGCCAGAATCCATCTCAATCTCTCTCTTTCTCTCTCTCTCTCCTGGTACTGGGATTGAACTCAGACATGTTCTACCACTGTCTACCCAAGTCCTTTTTATAAATTTTTTGAGACAGGGTCTTACTAAGTTGCCCAGACTGGCCTCAAACTTTTGATCCTTCTGCCTCAGCCTCCTGAGTCACTGGAATTATAGGTGTGTACCATTATACCTGGCCTTATTCTCTCATTTTAGCCAGATATCATCTTTTGTTTGTTTGTACCAGGGATGGAACCCAGGGGTGCTTAACCACTGAGCCACATCCCCAGTCTCACTGAATTGCTTAGAGCCTCACTATATTGCTGAAGCTTGGCTTTGAACTTGGGATCCTCCTGTCTCAACCTCCTGAGTTGCTGGGATTACAGGCATGTGCCATTGAGCCTAACCAGACTTATTATTTTGATTGCCAGGGCTGAATACCTCATGATTTAAATAGCCTGTATTCTACTGTCCTTTCCCATGGCTGATCCCTGACCTTTAACCTTAGGGTAAGCTTGACCCTGGTTTTCAGAATTATTATTCCCTAGGTCTTGCTAAACTGACTTTCATCTTTTATCAGATATGAGATGTGGTGATAAATTATCTTAGATAGTTAAATCTTCAAAAATTTGCATGTTCACTGCTTGATAGTCTAGTCAACTGGTGTATAAGCAAATACCAGTGTGGTTGGTATTTGTGGTTAGATTTTGATTTCTGTTTGCTCATTTATTTTTGGTGCACGGCACAGCAAGCAGCCAAGTGGGAGTGGAGCTGATGTTCCATGCTTCTGGATTTGTGAGCTCAGTGCCTTCAGCAGTCACTTGTCATCACAAGTCACTTCTCTGTGTCTGGTGCTGCCCAGGTGACTGCACTGTGTGCTTGGCCCAGGGCTGGAGCTTGCTGGCTGCTCCTTCTGCTACCCCCTCCCTCCCCACTGCTGTTCTTTCTTCTAGCTTTTTAGAGAGCCCTGGGCACACCAGAGTAGGACAGATGTGGGTTTGTCTTTTCAAATAGTGGGTGTCATTTTTTCATGTTGATTTCAAGGTGCATGTACAAGGCCCTACATAGAACGACAATTTCTAGATACCAGCTCTGTACTCCTTGCAAGAACTTCTTTCACTATCAGGACTCAAGAAGTTCCTAGAGGTCACTTTTTACAGCAACTCTCATTTACAGGCCTCTCATTTACAGATGAGATACTTATAAAAATGTCATTCCCCTTGTTAACGCAGCATGGCTGCCAGGATGTCCTTGCAGGAAAATGTGGCCTGTGGGTGGGGGCAGGCTGACTTGGGGTGAATCCTGCTCTGCCCCTTAGAGGCTGTATAATCTTGAGAAAATGCTTTCCCTCTCTGAGCTGGCGTTCTCATTTGTGAAGGGGAAGTGATCTCTACCTACCTTACAGGGTGGCCAGGGAACATGCCTCAAAACCTGCATTACTAGTGTCACACGACGCCTTTATCTGTCCCCATGTCCCTCTGCTCTTTCAAGGGCCTGAGTAGGAGGAGCAAACAGATCTGGGGCAGGGTGAGGAGGGGAAGGAAGAGAAGGGGGACCTCTGATGGCCTCCCTGCCATCAGAAACAGCTGTGGGAAGCAGGAGGGCTCAGAGTCTCAGGACCTGCTGGGCAGGGCCAAGAGTGCCTAATCCAAAGGAGTCAGGCAAAGATGGTCCAAGAGTCATCTTTACTAATTTTTTAAGAGGCAAATTTTAAATTCAATTCTAATGGAGATTTCAATGTGACACTTTTAAAGACAGCTCTACTGAGAGAGTTCCTTGTGCATTCATCTTGGTAATGAACGGATGCTCTTGATACAGCAGACAAACACCAGGTGTAACAAATCATATGGCTCCGCAGGGGCACAACATTGTTCTTCAGGGACTGACCTAGATTGACAATTCTGTTAATAGGATTAGGGTTCATTGTGGAAATGTTTTCTCTTATTAATTTGGCTTGACTTACATATACATTTTGAATTGGCTGGGGACAGGGCCCATTTGCTTTTAGAGAAAATCTTGTGGCTTTGTTTAAAACATACGACTTCCTGCTTTTGAAGAAATATGACATTTTAATTATGATATAAACTTAGTGTTTTGTACAAAATTGTAATGTCCAATCCAGACTTGTTCTTTAACTCTTAAGGCAGATTAATTCTTTCTGCTGTTTTTGATATGTTGTTCTTTGGTTATGTTTTCTGTTTTCCTTTCCTTTCCCCAAATAACATTTATTCATTCAGCAAACTCTGTGTGTGTGTGTGTGTGTGTGTGTGTGTGTGCGCGCGCGCACGTGGGCACCTAAGCTTCTATACACCAGGTCCCATGATAGGCACCGAGGACAAGTGTGTCAAGGAGCACATAGTGGGTGACTATTCAGGGTCATAAGATAAAGGAGGCATGCCCAAAGGTGTTATGGGGATTCAGGGAAGGGTGACCCAGTCCAGTGTTAGGTGGCAGAAGGGAGGCCATGGAAGGTTCTGGAAGAAGTGGCACTAAATCAAAATCTTATAAAAAGAAAAGGACCCGAGGAGCAGAGTAGAGGGTCAGGCAGGGAGGGACATGAGGTGAGGCTGGGGAGATCAGAGATGCATCATGGTGTGCAGGTCAAAGTGTGGGTTTAGAAAGTCACAGCAAGCCTTCCCTATCCCACAAACAATACACAAACAAACAAGCAAAAACCAGGGAGGGAACAAGATCAGATCTGCATTTTGGGACATTCATCCAGCAGTTCTGAGGCTCAAAGTAGAAATTCTACACAGAGTTGCTGCTGTCACAGAGGTGAGAAATGACAAGACTCGCAACTTGGGGGTGAACCAAGAGCTGTCTAGGAGATCACTGAGGGTGACTTGGTGATTTCCTGGGTGTGAGGCTGGAGCAGAGTGGGAAGAGCTGAGGTGACTTCCAGTTACCGGCTTGAGGCTGGGTGACTGAGAAGCCATCAATGGAGGTGGAACCTACAGTAGGTGCCATTGGAGGGAAATGAAGAACCACTGTGTTTTGGATGAAGTGTCCAGGTAAGGCTAGATGCAGCAATGACAGGGAGAAGATGTGGGCTGGAGATACAAATTTGAGAGCCATCAACATGCAGGTGGTAGCAGATGACAGAAGCCAGATGCAGCTGTCCAGGGAGAATGTGCAGACCTGAGTGAGCTCACCAAGGGAGCACCCTGGGACATTCCAAAATTTGGGGGTATACTGGGTAACCCACAAAGAAGGCAAAGAAGGAAGAGTTGAGGGAGTATGAGAAGCAGAAGAATAAGCCCAGAACAGAGGGCTTCAAGGAGGAAGGGACCATGGATGCTAGACAAAGCAGAGAGACTAAGAGAAATGAGAGAACATCAACTATGTTTAGACAAAAGGAAGAAAGCTCCTGCAGAGGGGGAGCGGGGCTTCAAGGAAAGATACTGAGAAAGGCAAGTTCACTGAGAAAGTGCTGCTTGTTTGCTTCAGCTGGGAAAGGTGTGCCCTCCTTTATAAAGCAGAGGCCAGTAGAGAAGAAGCTGGAGGTGGGCTGGGATCTCAAACTAACTAATGGGGAATCTTGGGTTACCTTAGTCCTCTTAAGTCCTCCAATGGCCTAACATTAAAAACTAGAGGAAACTGATATGGGCTGGGTGTGTGTATATGAACATCATAATAGATGATACAGATGTGTAAATATACATACATACTGCAGATTACTGCAGCTTGATTACAGTGCCTATTTAGTTACTTATCTGATTACTGCAATTAACAGAGGCCATCAACAGACATGGTACAGTCATCAACAATTAACAAAAAGCCCGGGACTACAGACCTTTCACTGTCTAGGCCCCCATTGCTCCTTTTTGAAGAGTTCAAGTTTGCTTTCCCCAGTTAGCAGTAGAGTGAAACTCTCTTACATAGGAAACAGCAGCCAAATAATTTCTTTAGAAAATACTGTTCTAATTCCAAAATGTGACATAGTTATCCTCATTAGACCTGACAGCTCCTGGGAAGACAGATTCTCAAATCTGCTCCCCGTTGGGCCTTGGTAAAGGGAAGGGTCCAGAACTGACTCCTGTTGTTATGTAACCACTGTGGAGGTGACCCTGGGGAATTGTAAATGAGGTGCCCAGGGTCATCCCTCATTAGCTGACGACCTGTTGAATTTATCCAGTTCACTGTGAACTGTTACTAGTACTGCTATCACTGCTTACCCAGTATGCATTTTGTAACATGCCACAGGGCTATGGATTCTGCAAACCTCTCATGGAGGGGAAAGTTATTAGGTGCCTGCTGGAATCCTGGTGACCATTACACCATTTTCTTTATTAGACTGTGTTCAGTTCTAAGGTCTGCCACCAGGTGTGAGACACTGCAGAGGGGCTGTGGGAATAGGGACAAAAAAAAAAAAATTGCTGGACAAGGATTAAGGAGGCTTGAGCCCCTGTTGTCCCAGTAAGTCTTGTGACCTTCAGCAAGGGTCTGAATTTACATGATATTTTTATGCATTGAGTATGCTGCTGTGGCATGTGCTTTCCTGAATGTAAGAAACAGATCTAATAAAAAAGAGAGATAATCAGACATTGGTGTCAAGGAGTCAAATACTGTGGATATCCAGGAACCCAAATCTGTTCTAGGAAAAGGATTTAGAGAGCCAGGGAGAAGTAATGGATGGCATGTCCCTGAGATGACCCCAGAGGGGATCCATGTAATGGCTCAGGATTCTGTTGTCCTGTTTTCAACCTAATAGTTTCTTCCTGGTCCAGACCCGCATCACCCTCCCTGGGCTGCAGCAGACCTTCTTCTCATCCTCCCTCTAATTCCTTAGGTTTGGAGGAGCCTGAACTTGCTCCCTCACCGCCACAGTGAGCAGACAGACACCTCGCAGTCCAGGGCCTGTGGCTCCTGTATGGACCATCTACAGATCTCGGATTCTGATTCTCACTACCATTTTCTGGGGACATCCCAAAGGTCCCCCTGGAAGGGGCCTTTGCAGTGCAATACCTAGCATGGCCTTCCAGGCCTGGGAGGTGACTGTGTCCTCAGAGTCTTCACTTCCCCAGTTTTCTCCACTCAAAGCTAAATATTCCAATCCAATTCATTTCAAAACCTCACCATCCTAGTTTCTGGGGAGACAGTTACACCCTGTTTTTTTCTAGGGCTCTCTCCCGGTATACCATGGGAGGATCCAAAAGTCAGGGTATAGTCCTTAATTATGAAAAAATAGAAATTGAAAAGAAGAAAACTCGCCTCCAGAGATTCGATTCTGCTCCTCCCTGGTCCTGTTGTGACCCCCGCAGTCCGGGTTCTGCCCGAGAGGCCAGCGCGTCCTCCTGCTGACTTGGGTGTCCGCAGTGCCGGGGACCACCAGGGGGCGCCGGGCGCCAGGAACTGGTCCCCACGCAGGCGACCTGGGTAGCGTCCTCCACGCTCACGCCAGGATGCAGCTGGCCCCCCCGCACTGTTCTGCGCAGACAGGGAGCCGCGGCCCTGGCGCGGATCTCGGCCAGAGAAACGCTGACCCCACAGCCTCTTCCTCCGAGATGGGCTACTGAAGGCCCGCGCCCAGAGCCTCCTCAGTGGGTGGGGATGCGAGCATGTGGGAAGGGAGCACGTGACAGGCGACAGCGGGGAGAGGCAGAGAAGGATCTCAAGGATGGGGCAGAACTGCATGCGCAGGGTGGTGCGTGGAGGAAGCTAGCCAGATACCGTGGTGACTGAGCGGAATATGATCTGTTTTTTTAATTGTTTAGATTCTATGAAGTATTGTTTTTACAGATAACTAGGTTGGATTAGAATTCCCACGTACTTTATGAAAAGCAGGCCACTGTAATATTAGAATTTTCTGAACGTGTCACTCCATAGGTGAATTCTTGAAACATTGTGTATAGAATGGAGTTTACAAAATGCAACATAATATCAGGATGCCTAAGGGGGCCCCAACTGAAAGGAAACTTGGCAGTGACGAATGAGGTGTACGTAGATGCTAGTGAGTAAAATTCTGATTGGAATTTAGGCAGCCACATTGTGGGTCTCTGGGAAGGGCATCAGACAAGGAGCAGAAGGAAAAGGCTGCTTCCCTGGCTGCTAGGGGTAGACCCGGTGACATTTCCCTGAAGCAGGGGGTACAGGTGGCCCCTGGTGGTCCCCGGCCAAAGACAAGTATCTTAGGCTATTTTACACCAAATAGACTGCAAAACTGCCCCAAAATGTTGGGGACAACTCAAAATTTAAGAGCAGGACACCTTGGCAGCCGTTTCCCTAAAACATACTGATAATGGTAATAAAATTTATTCTGGCAAGAATTGTGCAATTTGCTATGAGATAGATAAGATATGGAATTTTTAATAGCAATTTTACTTTTAATACATTTCAAATGCAGGAGGCAGATTTTCTTTCATGGTTGAAATAAGGCTTCATGGTTCCCAACACGTGTGCTGTACTTCTCATATGGAAACCAGGCTGAGTCAGATATATGAAAAGGAATGACAATTTAGGGCCAAACCATGGTCTCATATTGAAATAAAGTCTCCATTATTAGGTTCTTCTCTTGAGACTCCAAGTAGAACAGGGATTTACTAAATCTGGAGGAGAGAGAAGCAACTCCTACTATGAACAGGATTTCACCTTATGAATTACCTCTCTGTTAAATAACTGTGGCAAGAAAAGACACAGTGAGTTAAATGAAAGTAAATAAATGAAATCCATTGGGTGGAAATGATGCTTCCTAAGGTCCTATCACCCAGCAGGGTACAGATGAGACACATGTCCTCTTGTATATATAGTGTGCAACTACTACCATTTTCCACTGGGTTCAATCTTCCTGTCTCAGTGCCAGGGTTCTAAAAGCAAAGATTCCATGGCCTGGAACTTGTGACCTCTTGCCTCAGCCTCCTGAGCAACTGGGATTACAGGTGTGTGTCATAGTGCCCAAAGACTTAGATTCTTGAGGTTTGGGGGTCTCAAATGATTGCATCAATTATACACAAAAGTGTGCTTACCTCAGCTCCTCAAGACCCCTGACTGTTACCATCAAGAAAAGAGAACTTTTTGTGCACAGAGATCATAACAGCAATAGTAGAGCTGTCATCTCCTTGGTATTTATCCAAAAGACCTAAAAACAGCATACTATATAGGGCTACAGGAACAACAGTGTTGATAGCAGCACAATCCACAATAACCAAGTTATGGAATCAGCCCAGGTGCCCATAACAGATGAATGGATGAAGAAAATGTGGTGTGTGAATATATATGCCAATGGAGTTTTATTCAGTCATAAAGAAGAATAGAATTATGGCATTTGCTGGATGATGGTACTGAAGAACATCATGCTTAGTGAAATGAACCAGACTCAGAAATTCGAAGGTTAATGTTTTCTCTCATATGTGAAAGCTAGTGCAAAATAAAGGGGGAAAAATGGATGGGGGGCATGTCCCATGAAAATAGAAGGGAGATGAAGAGGGTAGAAGGGAAGAGAGGAGAGATGGGAAAAGGGAGGAACTAAATAATGAAATTGACCAAATTATGCTATGCACATATATGAATAAACCACAGTGAATCCCACCCTCATGCATATCTATAAAGCACCAGTTTAAAAAGAATACAATACGGAGAAGGAAGAGTAGAAAAGGGGAACAGGAGAGTGGGGAGGGGAGTGAAAGAGAAAGTGCTGGGGAGTGAAATGGAGCAAATTATATTCCATGCACCTATGATTAGGTTGAAGTGGACCCCAACACTATGTACAACTATAATTCACTAATAAAAACCTTAAGAAAAAAGAGCCCTTGTTGAATGCAGTGGCATACACTTGTAATTTCAGATACTTGGAAGACTGTGGAGAAGGATCACAAGTTCAAAGACAGCTTCAGCAACATAGCAAGGCCCTGTCTCAAAATAAGAGCCAGGTGTGGTGCATACGCCTGTAATCCTAGCAGCTCAGGAGCCTGAGGCAGGAGGATTTCGAGTTCAAAGCCAGCATCAGGAACTTAGTAGGGTCCTATCTCTAAGTAAAATATAAAAAAAGGGCTGAGAATGTGGTTCAGTGGTTAAGCACCCCGGGGTTCAATCCCTTGTACCAAAAAAAAAAAAAAAGAATAAAATAAAAAATTTAAAAAGTAAAAAAAAGGAGGTTAGGAACCTCTGAGTCTGATCCCTGACAATAAATAAATTAATTAATTAATAAGAGCCCTTTATATTATCTCAAAGAAAGCTTTACCTATGAGGTTAGGTATTATTGCCCTCACTCTACAGATGAGAAAACGGAATAAAATTATGGCATTTGCTGGATGATTATGTCATTTGATGGCTTTTTAAAAAAGCTGTCTGAAGTTTCACCATGTCCCAGTGGCAGAGCCAGAGTTGAAACTCATTTTCCTTAGATCTGCACAGAAGGGTCACAGGACATTTGTCACAGTTGTCAAAAACAAGGTCTCAAAAAGCCCAATCTTAGTGAAAGATGCATGCCTGGCTGATCTAGTGAGCATGTGTGTGTGTGTGTGTGTGTGTGTGAGAGAGAGAGAGAGAGAGAGAGAGAGAGAGAGAGAGAGAGAGAGATATTTTCATTGAGTCCTGCTTTATCCTAAACAAGATGTGTGCTTTAAACAGAAGGAGCCAAGTGGAAGGTAGGGTCCTTGGTTCAGCAGCATGAATCTGACTCAGGCTTCTTCTTAGGGCAGGTCACATTGCCAGCCAGTGATATCACAGGGATTTCAGGAAATACACTGGGCAATGAGAATGGAAAGAGCACTGTTGAGCAGTACTTCCTTCTTCCAAAATTCACGCACAGTGGGAAAAGTAGCAAAGCTGTATGGAGGAAGGGAGGGAAAAGCAAGCCTTCTTCCCAAATTATTGGTTGCATGTGAAAATGAGTTTAAATCGAAAGTGAGTTTCCCTTGTCCCACCAAGAGCACAAGCTGTGTTCCTTAGGGTCTTAGGGACCAACCTATCTCCCAGGAGGAGATCTATCTGAGCCATATCCCATCCATGTCAGCGCAACCTCTTCCCACCAGTATTCCACCTGCACACTCCACCAGAGCTTCCGGACAGTCGTCCTTCCAACCAGCACTGAGATGGAGAAGATAGTGCTAGGTCACTACTGTGTCATCTCCACCAATAAGCAATTGATTGTCTCTCTAAAGTAGAGGCAGAATATTATGGAAATAAGACCCTGGGCCCTGGACTCTGCCTTTCCCTGCTGGCTGACATATGGCAGGCGACACTTCCTTGCTTTGTGCCTGTTACAGTAAGATGGAGATGCTAATGGGACCTAAATGAATTACTTAGTGCCTGGCACCCAGAAAGAGATCAACAATGTCAGCTATGGCTGCTATCCCCATGTGTATTTATGTTTACAATTTCTGTATTCTTCAGATACATTCACATAAAAATGTCATCCACAGGTACCAATTTCATTTTTCTTTAGTGGAAATGAAATTTTATAGAGGTTAAATAACTGGAGTCCTGTTTTGATGAACTCGTAGTTTAATGCTGCTTTTACTATATCAAGCTTGTAAATTAAGATATTTATATATATATATATATATTTTTCATGAATTCATGCTGATATTCACACCTTTGCTGATAATCGGAGATTCCTAATTAAGAGATGTCGAGGTGTCCCTGTGCTGAGTGTCTTACCTTTGGGAGCCTGTACTTTTCCCTGAGGTGAACTCTCAGGCACGCCCTCTCTGCCTTTTTTTGTGTAAACGCCGCATCTCTTTCCATCCTAAAAGTTAAAGAATAGGATAAAGGATCATAAGGACACAAGAGCCCAGGACATTTTAGCCATTGCTCAGAGGAGCTGGACCCTGAGACCCCGGAGTCCCCACTGCTGGCAGACTCCAGAAAACATGGGGTTTCCCCCCTGCACCCCTAATGTCTACTCCTCTTACTCTACTGTCATCACTTAGTGCAGCACCCTAAGTCCCCAAGACAGCTTGGGTCTGGGAATCTCTTTGTGATATAAACCCAGAGAGGGGCAGGTGACAATTTTTAATGTGTGATTGCTCAGGGCCTTCATGGCCCAGACCCAGGAGCCTCAGAGTGGCCTGTCAAGAAGGTAGCTATTTGGGTCTGATCCTAGTCCTGTGTGTGTGTGAGACTCTCTGAAGTCTGGAGAAGCTGCATTTCTAATAAGCCCCCTGAGTGATTCTAAGGTAAGCCAAAACAGGGGTGTCCTATCTAGGACGAGGACATCCTTTGGAGGCCCATGGCCTTTGGAGATGTAATATAAAACTATTTCCCATCACTAATACCCACTCTAGGCCCCAACTGTTAGAAAGAGATATCCCCAAATAAAATAGGTTAGACTTGCGAAATGTCAGACTGGTATACTGCCCTACAGATGACCTAATTGGACCTTTTCTTATGGTTAGAAATGGACTCCCTTGCTTATGATGAGCCAGTCAAAAAGCAGAGACCTTGGGGACATGTGCAAAACTTGCAAGAACCCTGCCTTCCTGGTGGCTCACAGAAGTGCATTTTTGGTGGCCAAATTTATTCATCTGACGCTGCTCTCTGGCTGCATTGGGTTGGACCAACTTGGGTAAATGAAATCTCTTTGAGAATTTGGGTTTGGGACTGAGAAAGACAGAGACTTGAAGAGTGGCTAGAACTGTAACATTTTCCTTGTGGTGGGTGCTAGAGGGAGCACTGGAAAGGGAGATGACTGCTGAGAAAAAAAAAATGGCAATGTGGTGGTAGAAGCAAAAGCAAGAGATGGAAAGAGGGGCCCTGGCTTCTCAGCAGCC